GATAAAAGATCTCCGAGATGAAGAAGTACAATGGAGTGGAGTTAATGTCGACCGATTTACTGTTGTAAGCAAATCACTACCAAACCTCTCTGTGCAGCACGTTACAATTTACTGCTCGTAGTTACATGAGTCAGAGCTGTTGCTTCTGGTTCTGCCTCCAGCTTCTCCTGCCACAGAGCTGGACAGACAATGGGTCCGTGTTGCAGAGGGGCCTCGGGCCAGCCCCAAGGAGCCGTGTGTTGCAATGCCCATTATCGCAATGCCTCATTTTTCGGCTCCCTGCTGTGGAACAGATTGCTCAGGCCAGGGACAGACACCACTGTGCTTCACACAAGGTGTGGAGAGAGTTAAAAGCTAATGAAAGGAAACTTCAGTCATCCACACGCTCCTTGGGTTAGAATATATATATTTATTCTAATATATATGTAGTGGGACCCAGCACGGTGATAGACAGGAAGAAGGTGTCTCTTTTTGCCACAAACTCCCTTGCAGTTAAGTGCTTAAGCCACATCAGCCTGCTTTTGTGGAAAGTTAGGCAGGGGGAGAACCCCCTCATTGCATCCAACAGCTCATTGGGTACAGTATATTATATCCCAAGCAATGGGAGACTTACTTGCCAGTCACCACTCTGCTGGATTTAATTTGAACGGCCCTACGGCTCTGAGGAGTGCCCTGGCCCCGAGGCTATTTAAGCAGCCGCTTTTTCTTGCATTCTCCGGCCACCTCTGTGTCTAATATAAAATCAAATGTATCATTAGGAGAGATGAAGAGCAATTATATCTGAGTGCCTAACAAGTTGGTGATTGGGATTTTCACTTTGCATACAAAATACCTGAGTACAGCTGTTTACCTGAAATCAGGCAGCACCAGGAGTTAGTGCTAAGTATTCCGTTTCTCCATGAAGGTGTCCAGCCAGTTTGTTCAACAGACCTTTCACTTCGCAGATCTTTAGGAGGAAGGTCTGATGTGACTCAGGAGACTCACACAAGATGATGAGCCTGGATTTAAGCATACGAGTACTACTGAGAAGCAGGCTCACCCCCTCCCCTCTGCCTGGCCTTTACAATGGGTAAGTTAGGCAGCTTCCCTGCTCTGCCTCTGATTTCTGAAGGTTGTGTTCTCAGGCACAATCCTGAGCAGCAGGAGGCTGCTGCTGTGCCTAACTCACTTGCTGAATTGAGCCTGCCCTCACTTTTGAAAACGGGCTTTTAGCTCCTAATTCGCTTGAGCACTACGGAAAGCGTTAGATAAAGCATTCAACGGGGCACCGATCCGTGTTTCGAGTTAAACGGCGAATTCGGCAAAATACCCTGAAAACACCAGAAATTCAGAGCGGACAACAAATCCACGGTTTAACCAAAGATTTTCTCAGCAGATTTTCCCGGTAGCCGCCTTCTCTGAAGCTAAAACTGAAGGATAGACTTTCCTTACTCTTTAACTGCTAAGACACCAGCTGCCTCCCCCTCTGCCCTAGTCCGAAGCTGGGCCCTGCTGAAGCCGGAGCTGGGCGCGATGCCGCGGCGTTTCCGAGCCGGGGCTCCCCGAGCCTGCACGGAGCTGGTGCCCGGCAAAGGCGCCCGGGAGGCTGCTTTCGTGTGCGGATAAGGGAGCCGTTCCCCTCGTGTGTGGGAATGAGAGTAGAAAAATGGCTTCCCTTTTATTTTGTGTGTGGTTCTGCGGGCGTTTGCTCCCTCTCCGTGCTCTGGCTACTGGGCGCTTTATTTCCTACCCTCCGTGGAAAGCACCGCATCAAGGCGCTATCGCTTTCCCACGGCGGAGGATTGCCTCCCCTCTGAGTCCGGAGTGGTACATGGATGTGCTCGGGGCCCCTCTGCTTTCTCTCGTCTGTCTGCCGAGGCGCTCTAGG